TTTTTTTTTTTTTTTTTTTTTTTTTTTTTTTTTTAATAGGATAGAAAGAAAGAAAAGACAAAGTAAGACTCCAAAATATAAGAAATATATACAAATAGAGCACACGTCAAAACACCCGGCCACTGTCTGTTCACCTGCAAAGAACATGACAAAACACAGCAACAAAATACATATGTATGAAGAACTTAAAATATTCATGGCTTTGCAGTAAGTTTCCATAAATATATATACCCATACCTACGCCTATATACATACATACATACATACACATGAATATACACTCACATACATATCTATATATCTACATATAAAGCCTACATAAGCATCCCTGCTTCTATTTGTGTGTGGTTGTGAGCATGCATAAGTGTATAAGGCTTCTCTAATAGAACATTTATTAGTAATTGTGAAGCAGCAGAGACCCGACCCCCAAGACCAGAGGCAGACGAAAAAGGGGGGACCAGAGCCCAAGACCCCAGGAGGGACCCCGACCGCGGAGCCCCCAGAGCCACCCACACGGGACGAACCACTCACCCACCCCCCAGAACGGACCACAGGGGAGAACCGGAAGATCCCCACCAGCAACCACATACAGTGACCCCCCGGGGCCAACAGCGACAAACTCATAGGCCTCCGTCGGCACCCGCCGCACCGATGTAGGTCCAGGTCCAGGCACCGAGGCCCGGGCACCGAGGACTCACACCACCCAGGCCAAGGCCTGACAGGGCCAGAGGACCCGAGCCGCACCAGGCAGACACCAGGCCGAGCCGACACACGCCCAAGCGCCCAGCCCCCGATACCAATGGCCCCAAGCACGCCGGCAGGCAAGGGCACACCCCACCAGGGGGCCGCGCGATAGGGGCGCGATGCCAAGCACCCCCAGTTGTATCAAAGAGGGGGCAGTCCGAGTCTCGGCCTAACAAATACCCATTCATACACAGACACAATCACACAATCCCAACCTCAATCTCACATTCACTCACTCAAAGACATACAATAACGATACATTTCATTCTTATTCCCGATACACACTCTATACCCCCCAGGTCCAAGACATGTACCTGCCCTCTACAGGGGGCAGCCCATGCCCAAACCCAAGAGGTAAACCCATTCATTCTTGAGCGGAGAAGAGCCAATACCCCAGACCCAGCCCAGGCCATGCCCCGCCGACAGGACACCCCCCCACCATGAAGAGGACACGCCACCGACCACCCCCACACACCGCCAACAACCAAGCACGCACCCCCAGCCGACCGCCCGCCAGGCCCCGGCAGCCACCCCGGCCACCGGGCCAACCATGGCACCCAAGAGCCAAGCTCAGGGGGTCCAAACAACCCCAGGGAGAGCACAGCGCCAGCACCGCCCATGGCAACCCCCAGACCCTGAACCCCCACATAGTCCTGGTCAACACCCGACGGACTGCCCTTCTCCCGGACCCCACCCCCGGAATGGCAGTCAGGGAACTAGGTGGGTAGGAAGAGGAAAAAAAAAAATAAAAAAATAATAATAATAATAAGACCCCGACACATACACCCCCACCCCTAAATGTGCTGTTGATGTGTGTTGTTGTATAGTGCCATTAAAAAGGAAAGAAGAAGGAGCAAAGGCTGGCATGGTGCCAGTTTCCCCTCCACCCCAACTCTATCCAAACCCTAGTGTCTAAATGCAACCGTTGTAAGTGAGCACAGGCACAGGGGGTGAGAGTGAGGTCATCCCACCACCCATAGCCATGTGCCCACCTCAAGTTCCTATATATGAATGTCATGAGGATGTTGTGAATGAATGTCTAAGGTGTACAATAAAATTGAGTCCCAGGTGGCTATGGTCAACAAAGATGTAAAATTGTTGCAGCACACCCGAGTCCAAACAACCCTAAATGTATGGAATTGAAATGAAGAGGGTGGAGGTGCATGGTGAGGGATGGGGAGAAATAACTGTGAGAGCAAATGCTCCCACAGGGAGTCAGCTCCCCCTCCATGATTTCTAAGTGGGAGAACTTGCAAAGTCGCAGGGTGTTCAAATACTTATTTTCCTCACTGTAGTTCAGATTCATTGCACACCAACTGAAATATTTCAGGTCTTTAATTGTTTTAATACTGATGATTATGGCATACAGCTCATGAAAACCCAAAA